GTTGAACTAAACTGGCTTGTGAGTGAGTATGGTTCCTACCAGTGACAAGCCTGTTGTCCATTTAAGGATGAGCACACCTATGTTTCTTTACATTTACTCTCAAAAGGTGCAGAGACCGGGTAATCACACTGGGAGTGCCTAGAGGGCGGGGACCATGTTTTTAACCCCAATTTTCATCTCCACCCATGACCTCTTGCAAAATCCAACTGCCCACTAGACAGCTCCACAAAAATGTGTTGTAGGCATGTCAGATCTATGTTCAAAACACAACTCTTGATTCTCCTCCTGCTCAAACCTGCATTTTGCCCTCCTCCATCTCCCCATCTCAGGAAATGGCATCTATCACCTGCCCAGGTTCAAAACCTCACTTTTTTCTTTTTAAAACTGAGATAAAATTTGCATGCCATAAAATTCACCCATAATTTTAAAGTGTACAATTCAGTAGTTTTTAAAATATTCAGACTTTCGCAACCATCACAACTCGTTTGAGGACATTTTTATCACCCTAGAAAGAAACTCCATACCCATGAGCAGTCACTCCCCACTTCCCTCTAACCCCACACCCACCCTCAGCCCACGTCAACCGCTTAATCTACTTTCTGTCTATGGATTTGCCTGTTCTGGACATTTTATATAAACGAATCATACAATATGTGGTCCTTTGTGCCTGGCTTCTTCTACTTAGCATAATGTTTTCAAGGTCTATCCATGTTATAGTATCTATCAGTATTTTCTTCCTTTTTATTGCAGAATAATATTCCACTGTATGGATATATCACAACTTTTTTAATCTATTCATCCGCTGATAGGCATTTGGGTTGTTTCTACTTTTGCACTATTGTGAACAACACTGCTGTGAACATTTGTGTGTAATTTTGCATGGGTATGTGCTATCAATTCTCTAGGGTATATACTTAGGAGTAGAATTGCTGAGTCATATGGTAACTCTATTTACAATTTTTTGAGGAACTGACAAAACGCTTTCTGAAGGTGGCTGCACCATTTTACATTCCCACCAGCAATGTATAAGGGTTCCAATTTCTCCACATTTTCACCAACATGTTATTTATTTACTTATTTTTAAATTACAACTGAACTGTCTCCAGTGGATATGAAGTGGTATCTCTTTGTGGCTTTAATTTGCATTTCCCTGATGACTGATGATACCAAGTACTTCCACATGTGCTGTTGGTCATTTGTGTATCTTCTTTGGAGCAAGATCTATGAAAATCTTTTGTTCATTTTTATACTGGATTATTTGTCCACTTTTGTTGTTGAGTGGTTAAGAGTTCTTTACATAATCCGGATACAAGTTTCTTATCAGATAGACAATAGCAAATATTTTCTCTTATTCTCCGATAGACTTTTCACCTAAACAGTCTTCTTTGAAGCAGACAAGGTTTACTTGTGGTGAAGTTCAATTTATCAATGTTTCTTTTGGTTGCTTGTGTTTTGGGTGTCATGTCTAAGAAATCACGACCTAATCCAAGGTCACAAATATTTATAGCTATGTTTTCTTCTGTGAGTTTATAGTTTTAGCACTTAAATTTAGGTCTTTGATCTACTGAGTTAATTTCTATGTATGGTGAGGTAGAAAACCAGCTTCATTTTTTTTTGCACGTGCATACCCAGCAGGATTTGTTGAAAAGACTCTGCTTTCCCCACTGACTGTTCTTAGCACTTTTTTTTTTCCAAAAATCAATTGACCATAACTGTATAGATTTCTGGATTCTGAAACTATTCTATTAATCCACAAGTCTATCCCTAAGCCAGGACCACACAGTCTTGTTAGTATAGCTTTGTAGTCTGTTTTAAAATCAAGAAACCTCAAATTTGTTCTTTCTTTTCAAGGTTATTTTGGCTATTCTGGATCCTTTGCATTTTCTTTTTTTTTTTTTTTCCTTTGCATTTTCATACCAATTTTGGGATTGGCTTATCAGTTTCTGAAGAAAATCAGGTGGGTTTTTAATAGGGATGGTGTTTAATCTGCAGATCCATTTGGGGAGTACTGTCATTGTAATAAGTTCTCTGAGTCCATTTTTTGACATTTGCCTCTCCCTCCCTCTGATGAGAAAGCCCAGGTGCTCTCTCCCTTGGTGCAGCTGGGAAGTTCAAACTCTATACAGAAACTCCACCCCAGTCCCACCTTCTACCCATCATAAAAATCCCAAATTAGTGTCCTTTCCCTGCCCTCAAGTCAAGTGCAGCCCAGCTTGGGAGGCACTGTTATAGATTTAACTGATCTGAGTTGGAAGTTTAGATAATTGGCATTTTGGACAGGAATGTGGGATTGGGGCTCTCCTTAAAGTGGTCCTGGGTCATAGGTCTTGGCCCACACTTATCCATGTGTGTCAAACTGAATCCTGTGTCTTTTAAAACCAATTTTATTTATGTCTTTAAAAAACTTATTTATTATTTATTACAAACTGGGGGAGCAGCAGAGGGAGAGGGAGAAGCAGGCTCTTTGCTGAGCAGGAAGCCCTATGTGGGGCTCATCCCAGGACCCTTAGATCATGATCTGAGCCAAAGGCAGACGCTTAACCAACTGAGCCACCCAGCTGCCCCAAATCCTGTGTCTTGATTCAATTCTAGCAGATCAGTGTCCCCTCTCCCCCACCACTGCAAGACCCTGAAACCTCGGCTAAATCCCTAAGAATTTTTTGGTAAACTGAAGGCCACTCCATCTCTGACACGGCCCAAAAAGAGTTATCATCTCTCTCAGCATCCACAACATTTAAACAAGCCTAACATCTTCTAGGACTTCTTTGGGTTCTGGGAGCCAGGCATTCTGCATTTACAAATCTTTTAAAGCTCACTTGTGTTACTTGCAAATTGCCCCACAACAAAAGGCTCTAGAATCTGTGTGAACTGCAATGCAACAGGCATTCCCAACAGTACCCCCAGAGGGTCCTTCACTACAGAGGCCTCAGCAACCCCCTCTCATGCCTCCTGGAGCCTCTGGAGCACCTAAGTTATCCGTGGGCTTCTGATACAAGAAACTCCTTGGCCTCACGCTATATGCCATTAGACCTGCAATTGCTGGTTGCATACTATGAGATCTTGGATATAGTAGCCATCCTAAGCCCTGGCCTGAGACCTCCCATACCCAACTGTCTCTATGTTGTGGGTCATAAAAGCAACATCCCAGCAATAATTTCAGTACGACCACCAAGGCCTTTCTGCTACATAATAGAGCTAACCCTGGACCCTCTGGCATATCCCATCTGCAGCAGGGGGTGGCCTTCCCTGTCCTCAGACCCTTGCCAGATGCCTTGGTGCTGAAGGTCACTCCTCTCTCGGACTCCTCGAAGCCACCTGCCATCAGTTGAGTAAACAGCAAAGGGAGTTCTCATGCTTTACAGATAGCATAACCACCATGACACAGGCTAGAGCTCCATGGGGGTGCTGCTGTTTTTTATCCCTTAACCGGGATGTCCCCGAAGAATAGGACCCAAGGGTCAGCACAACTGGCCAAACTTCACAGAGTCATCTTAGCACTGGGCGCCCTGGCCTACAATTGACCCATGTGTACATTTTTTGACTCTTGAGCCAGGTTGCCCCTTTTGGGGTAAAGAACTCTGGACTCTCTTGTCCCACAGACACCCAAAATATAAATGAAGATCACACGTATCTCTCTACTTACTGAAGCTGCAATACAAGACCTCAAGATACTCCTCTCCTTCAGAGTTCCAGATCTTTTTAACAGTGATCAAGATACTCATTGCACTTCTCGAAATACACAGTTCTGGGCCCTTAAACAGGCATTCAACAGAATTCTCACCTCCCCTACCAACCTTAAGCTACAGACCTCATACTGACTTAAACAAGTTCAAATTCAATTAAATGTAACATGGCACATGTCAGCCATCAGTCAAACATCCGAGGTGAATTATAACAACAGGTCTACAGTTTTTGATGTTTGACTGCTGACAGCTTTTAAGCCTCACCTCTCCTCTTCCCATGATGCCCCACATCTGGGCGAGTAATAAGAGTCTAAATTCTTTATCCTTCGGTACGGGGGGCTGGGGGAGGGGAAGGGGGTTGTGCAAACCACACGGTGGAATCATCACTCTCGACCTACTCCCTTTACCACCATAAAAAAACCAAGCCAGTCTTCTTTCTCTGCTCTCTCAAGCCATTTTCAGACCTGTGTGGGTGCCACCCTGATCTCCCCAGAAAGTCTCATTATATGATCAATCTTTTCGTACCCTGAGTGTGTGTGGTATTATCATCTGGACATCTGAGCCAAATTTTTCCCCACTGTTGTGTCCACAATGGCAATCCTGACGCTATTAAGTCTTAATCTATGAACACAGATATATTTCCATTTATTTAGGTCCTCTTTTCCTATATAATGTTCTAGATATAAAAAAAGAAAAAGAAAAAAATAATAACGTTCTGTAGTTTTCAGTGTACAGATGGTCCCCAACTTACAGTGGCAATTTTTTGACTTCATGGCAGTGTGAAAGCAACACATATTCAGTAGAACCTAGTTTGAGTTTTGAAGTTTGATTTTTCCCGGGTGAGTGATATGTGGTACAACACTGGGGATGTTGGGCAGTGGCAGTGAGCCATGGCTCCCAGTCAGCCATGTGATCACGAGGGAAATCACAACAGGGGCAGGGCCTCCAGAGCCATAGGCCGGTTTGACCCCAGCTCTGCCCTTAACTAGCCACGTGATCCAAGTCACTGTCTAATTTGTTTTATGCATTCACCTGCAAATCGGGATTCACTTTCATGGGGTTGTTAGGAGTGAAGGAGACATACGGTAGAACACAGAGTAGGTGGCCAACAGGTGTCACGCCTGGGACAAGGAGGTGAGTGTCATCTAGGTAAGTCTGATTCCTGGTTGAGAAGACAGGGGCCGGTTGGAGACTGCCCCCCTACCTCCAAGCATTTCAGTGCCCCTGGGTCTGCCAGACACAGGCCCCAGGCTTGTGGACTGTGGCAAAGCCCCACCCCCCACCCTCAGCCCCAGACAGGGAGCAAACATACAGAGGCATCTTCCAGTGCACTTTAATCAAAATTCCGTCATCATAAGATTTCTTGTAGCATACAGTGTTAGGATGGGCATGTCAACTTGGTCCTACAAATGGAATTTCCACAGATTTGCACTTCAAACATGTATGAAAAATAAAATATATAATATTTAGCTTTATAAATTTCCCCACTTCATCACTCTTCTTAAAATAAGTTACTACCTCTGTCCAATAAATTAAGCAACCTGGAGTCACCGAGCAAATATCAGCCAAATGACTTCCATTTCCTGAAAAAGTTCTGGGGGAAATACTTGAGACAGTCAAACGCTTACAGGAATCAACATGAATTAAAAGTAGCACATTCCTCACAGTGGGGCGAGACATCAAAAATGGAAGGCTGCTAATGGCTGTTCTCTGTTGGGAAAAAATAAATCCCCCCTGACCATACCGAATGGCTGTAGAAGCTGCAACTGAACTTTTGGCACCGGTGGAGAAAAGAGACTTTGCAAAGAAGCCATTCCCAGCGCTGAGTCCATCAAAGCATCCGTTGGAGGGAGAGGTGACAGAGGCGGAGGCCCAGCTGCCACAGCCCTCCTCCAGAACTCCCTTCTGCTTTCCAGCTCCCAGCCCCCTCTGGAGGTCTGGCTGCCCCCTCCATCTTGGAGAAGGCAGGGCGTGGTCTGGGCAGCCTGCCCTCCTCCTAGAGCTGAAGAGTTCCTCAGAGCATAGTAAAGAACACCAAGAGAAAGGCCCTTCTGTGAGCAGCGGGGGCTGCTTTGCTGCGTGCTCAGGGGACAGCAGGGTATAACTCAATACACAAGGGACACAGACACTCCAGCAGGATGGCCGCACAGCCTTTAAAGGGGACAGACAGAAGGTGCACACAGGACATCGAGGATCCAAGAGGGTGGGCAAGGCTGCGATGCGCTAGCAATTACAGGGGCTCTGTACGGGGCCTCAAGGGCCTTAATCCCCCCCCTACCCCCAGCAGGAAGTCCGATTTGCCCACCTGCAAGCTCAGGGCTTCTTCCCCCCTCAAAACAACACAATCTTGGTAAGGAACAAAGAATCCAGTAACAAGGGCTGCTACAGAGTCTCGGCCTTCCAAGAGTCCCTGGGAATGAGCTTCGGGGGCCCCAGCCCATTCTGGCAGGGGCTTTTACACAGTTTAGCTGGGGGAGGAGGTGGCCTTGCACTTCCGACAGGAACAGCCCAGCCCTGGCCTCCTAGACAGAGCAGGAGGCAGCTACAAGTCAAGGAGACGCTCCTCACAGGTCTCCACGGGCCACTTTGAAGCCCCTCCAAACACATCGACGTTGTTGTCCACCCAGGGTATGATGTTGCCGGGCATGTTCGTGGAGCAGTTGGCAATGTTGATAATTTCTTGTGCACGAAGGACGCGGTCCCATATGTTGAACTGGCTGAGCTCCCCCACGAATGCCTGCGTGGCATCGAACCTGCCCCCAACCGTGTCCTGGGAAGGTGCGGGGGAGCAGAACCACATCAGCGCAAGTTCAAAAAGCAGACACACCTGCTAATTCTCCTGGACCGTGAACGGCCTTCCGGAAGGGATGCCAACTTGGGAGGGAGATGGGGAGACTAGGGCATTTTCCCAACTCCCTCCAACTCTGGCCACACCCCCTAACCCCTGATTCCTGCACATCCCGGAGCTCCAGGACACGTGAAACCACCTCGAGACTAGAGTGGAAAGACATTTGCCCAAAGTCCCAAAGCTAGCACTAGATCCAGGTCTCCAGACTCCCAGCCTCTCCCAGGGAAGTGAGGGGAGGAATGGGCCGTCAGCAAACCTCAAACACAGGCTGAAACATCAACTCTTATCTGCCCAGTAGCAGACAAGCAACTTACATTTCCCCTCTCCCAGAGGGTGAGTTTCTTGAGGGCAGCTTCTGAAGTCACTTTCCCACCCCCATCTCCCTCAGGAGGCTGAGCACCCTACAGGCATGCCCTAAGTGCCCCAAAACACTGAGCCAGCAACTCCTGGAAGATGCCATGTCAGCTCTTGGCATCCTGAATCACAGCTGTGCCTGGCAGAGGCCAAACACCTGGAGAGAAGCCAAAGTCCCTTCCTGATAACATGACCCCAGGGACACTCCTGATCACCTGTGTTGGACTCCATTCTGCAATCTATCTGACCCATCACACCAACTTGGTCGCCCGCCCTCTGCCCCTCAGGCCACAAGACAGCATGGGGCGAGCCTGCCGTCAGGCCTCAGTGGCCAGGTCCGGCAGGCAGACAGCTGGCCAGGGACCCCAGGGGCCCCGGGGCAGCCTGCAAGTGTGGCCTTGTGCTGCTCGCCTAGCCAGTATGCTCCCCTCTTGCACCCCCTGCACTCACCTGTTCCTGCCCGAGGATCAGCACACCCCCTGGCTTGATGGGGTGCCAGGGGGCCAGGTTCTCCCCAGTGCCGAGTTTCTCCCCATCCTGGAAAGCTTCCCACATGCCGTCCCGTGTCGTCCAAGTGATACAGATATGGTGCCACTTGCCGTCACTGACAAACAGGGGCAGCTGTGCAACCTGTGGACAGTGACATGCAGGTGAGGGTCCCCGCAGGGTTTCCAGAAGTCTGACCTGCAGAGAGGCTGGAGGTCCTGCTGCTCCCATCATGCAGGGTCCCGGCTCGTCTCCCCTTCTCTGCACTGTGGGTGACATGGGCAGCTCTGCCGCTCAGAACGCCTGGGATGGGGGGAGACACTGTGTGACACAGACAGCCAAGAGGAAAGGGGCAGGCAGCCTGGGTACAAGCCCCTGACCCCAGGGTGGCCCGGCTTTCAAGGGGACCCCAGCTGAGGGTCCAGGATGCTGTGCAGAGCAGATGTGAAGTGAAGGACAAGCCCCCTCCCTGCCATGCCTGGGCCTGAATGTGTCATGCCAGAGAGCCTGAAGGGAAGTCAGGGTTCTACTGGGCCAGCTTCTCTGGAAAACAGCCAGACCAGATATCTACACTCTAGGCAGGGGCTCAAATTCTATCACGGCACCTGGGGACGTGTGTGTGTGTGTGTGTGTGTGTGTGTGTGTGTGTGTTCCTGTGCAGAGGACCAAAGGCCGTGTGTGTGTGTGTGTGTGTTCCTGTGCAGAGGACAAAAGGCCGTGTGTGTGTGTGTGTTCCTGTGCAGAAGAGCAAAGGCCGTGTGTTTGTGTGTGTGTGTGTGTGTGTGTTCCTGTGCAGAGGACCAAAGGCCATGTGTGTGTGTGTGTGTGTGTATGTGTGTTCCTGTGCAGAGGGCCAAAGGCCGTGTGTGTGTGTGTGTGTGTGTGTGTGTGTGT